CAAAAAGCACAGTAGAAAGTCATCATGTCATCACCCTTATGGAAATGAATTGAACTCACCAAAGAGAAAGACACAGAGTGACTGGTTGTACCAAAAACAAAACCCAATTTTATGCTGTCTCCAGGAGACAGGATCAAAACAGCCCCACTGCGGGAGACAGGTATAGGCCAGGATGCTTGAGGAACTGCCAGTGTGGACAGTTCACACCCCCACTGCTGCAGAAACCAGGACAGGATGAGGATCCTGTAGGCGTGTGTTGTATTTTTTTTATATTCTTCTTTTTTTTATTTTTTAACTTCACTTTTCACTTGTAAAGGACTATTTGTTTTCCACCTACCCCCTCAGGTGTAGTCCCCATAGAGTTTCCTTCTCCAAGGCACCCGTGCACCATCACCTCAGTCCCCTGTGCTCCTCCCTCCCTCCCTCTGGTCCTCTGCACACTGGGGATCAGAGAGAGACTGAGACAGGGACACAGAGGAATGGGGCAGGGACAGAGAGGCCAAGAGGGACAGGGACACACACAGAGAGTGAGATGAGGACAGACCAAGAAGGGGAGGAGAGAGAACATCAGAGGGACATACAGAAAGAGGAAGGGAGAGTCAGCCAGTGAGGACAGGGAAGGAGACAGAAGAGGCCTCCTGGCATCAGTCACTGTTGGAGTGGACACCCCTGCCTTGGGTGGCCTCGTCCCCAATCAGACCCAGCCCCAAGTCGATACAACCTCCAGGAGTGGGCAGGTGTGTGAGCAGGGAGGGGTCCTGAGAAATCTGTGGCTGGCACGTGTGCACTGTCTGTGGCCCTGGCACCTTGACTGGGCCCACAAGGCCCTGTAGGGCATAGCCAGAGAGGAGCAGGGCTGACAGGCACACTGGGTGGGAGGACAGGCACCCCGGGTGGGAGATGTCTCTGCCCCCAGCAGGGCTGGCCAGGCTCTGGGTGAGGCGTGTGCAGGTGCCCTTCCCAGGTGGGACCCTCCAAGTGCTGTGAGCCTGACACCAGCCTCCCCTCCAAGGGCAGCAGAGAGGAGTGGCCCACTCCCAGGGAGAGGCTCCACACTCTGGAGCTCCTCTGGGCCCATGGGAGACAGGGAGCTGGAGTTGCCGATGCTGCAGGGCCTGCTCCTGGCAGGGAGGATGAGCCAGGTCAGCAGCCAGAGACCTGGTCCCCAGGTTGTCCCTGGCTGCATGGCTCCATCCAAGGTCTCTGGGAGCTGTGCTGCTGTCAGTGTTGTGAGATGAGCCTGGTATGGAGGGCCAACAGGAAGTGGCCCAGGTAGCCATGTGGCGGCCAGGGGGGAAGCGGGGGGGGGGGCATCTGTCTGAGCAGGAAGTCCAGGGAAGGGGACCCAGGAAGTGACATCACCTCCGCGAGATGACAGGGCACACATGACCTCGGAACCCTGGTTCCCAGGCAGTTCGTTCTGAACCAAACCTGACCCAGTTCACTTGCCTGGTGGGCCTGGACCCGGCCCCACCTTTTCTTGCTGTTTGCCCAGGTCTCCCCGCAGTGGACCCAAAAAGGTCCCGAAACTCGTGTCACACTCTGCCGAAAGGCATGAGGAGCGTGTGCGTACGCCTCAGGCCAGCACCAGCACTGCCCCGAGGTAACTGGGGGGCCCTGGGGACAGGTCAGACCACGCCAGGGCTCTGATGCCCCCACTCCTCCCTTCCCCCTGTGAGTGCGTGTGTGCGTGCGGTGACAGTGAGTGTGTGCGTGCTCCAGGAAGGAGGGTCTGGCCCACCCAGGAGTCTGCTCATGTCTACACAGAACCAGCCTGGCTGGTGGTGGACCCAAACCGTCTTGGCTGCTCCCTCTTGCCCCAGCTGGTTGCTACCCGCAGATGCGTCTGTTTACTCCCAGGAGGTCTTTGTGTCCAGGAAGGTGAAGAGATCCAGAGAGTGCAATTCCCCGACTGTCCTCCCACAGCCCAGTTGGGATCTGTCCCAGCACAGAGCCCAGGTTGAAGTGCATCTGCAACTTTGAGATTGGGGCACATGTCCAAAGGAACTGGCTGCAGTACCCGAAATCCCTGGAGAGCCATCCGAGGGTGAGTGGCCCAGGCTGGTGCATGGGCCCGACTGGGCGGGGTAGGGTCAGGCGGCCCTTGGAGGAGACCACACGGGCTAGATTTGGACCACGAGCAGTCTGACCTGGCATCTGCAACTGCCTCATTTGAGGAACAGAATCCCAGGGGCCCCTATTTAGGGTGGTCCTGCTCAGGGCTCTAGCATGTGGTCTGTTTGAAAAGGCAAGTGGCAATCTGGCGTGTGGCTGATGGCCTGTCCTCTCGCATCTCTAGCCGCTTCTCAAGGAGCACAGCCAGGCTCCCCTGCAGCCCATGGGACAGGCCAGAGCCCAGCCAAGTTGCTGATGGGAGAGAAGCAGACACGGGGTTGTCTCTGGTTGTGCTGCAGGATCCCTGCAGGGGCTGGTTCCCCAGCAGGGGCTGCTGCTGCCTCGCACCCTGGAACCTGCAGGATGTTGGCCAGAAGTGGCTTCCTCCCACAGGTGTTGTTCGAGCTCAGGACGCTCTTGCATAGGCTGCATTCTCCTGGCCAGGCCTGGCTGTTCCAGCAGGGGTGGAGTGAGCTCAGCACTGTCCCATGGAGTGCAGCATCCTGGTCATTGTCTGGTTCCTCCTGCAGCACTCCTCTTATCTCAAATCCTCAAGAAGTCTTGGGATCCTGCGCCAGTCTTGGCTTCCCCAGAAGGGGTGGGGGTGTGAACTGCCCACACTGGGCAGCTCCTGAAGCATCCTGGCCTCTACCTGTCTCCCGCGGTGGGGCTGTGTTGTAAACACACCACTGCCAGCATGCCCTGCTGGGGCCTGGCTAGGGCCTGGCTTCTCACAAACAGGTGGTGTGTGTATGCCCAGCAGGTTGTCCCACAGGTTGCAGGTCCTGGACTGGTTTCCCCAGCAGGGCTGGTATTAGCTCAGCAGCCTGGGGACATCCTGCTGGAATCTGGAGAGTTTCAGGCTATGTAGGGGTTTAGTAAGCTCAGAGTGCCCAGGAACAGCTACACTACCCTGGGCATTGTCTGTCTGACCCAGCAGGCCTGCTGGGCTCTCCTGTTAGTCTGTAACAACATATGCAGAGGGTGCTCACCTCATGCCATTCCTCCAGGGTCCCATCCCCTGACCCCTGTCCTGCCTGCCCACCTCTGGTGCTGACTAAGCACCGCTGACCCCAAACCTCTCCTCACCCACCTCTCTAGCCACATATCCTCGTTAAACTTCTACTATCCCTCCACCCACTGACACCTGGCCTTCCTCTTGTAATTCAAAAATCTTTGTTTCCTCATTGATTTCACGTTTTTTTCATTTTATTTCCTCAGGGTTTCTTGTTCATTATAGAAATACTAATAAAGTTTGTTTTGTATCACCCAAATTTTTCACTCCTTTGCGTCCAGTTCTGTCATCTGTGCTGGCCTCCTTCTTGCTTATGGCCTATGCAGAAGATCTACAACTAGTGTAAACCCTTTAGCCAACCACTCACTGCCCAGGCCCCTCAGGCCCTGATTCCTTCACATGTCTGCTGCCTCTGTTCTGAATTCTACCTGGGCGTTTTACAGAGAAGGAACCAAATAAGTGGTGACCTGGATCTTCCCAAGTACACAATAGAGGTAGTACACATGGTAGTGTAAGGAAAATTGGTTTGTTGGGCCTCCCTGGTGTCCTACAGGTGAAGTCTCAGCGCTGTCACCACTGAGGCCTGAGTCTAGCCCAGGCCAGGGAGCTGACCCTGCTAGGGCTCAGCAGACTTCTCCTATCTCACCAGATGCTCCCCTTAACAGTGTATTTCAGTAAATCTACCTGTTCTGCTTCCCACTCTGTCTCTGCTGAATCCTCTTATCCCTATGCCGAAAGAAAAAAAAAAATGGGGGATATTGAATTTAGTTAAACAGTAGGGTTTTGTAAATGAGCAATATCTATCAAATCAGCCATATGTCATTACATAAGTATAATCAAGAAATCATTATTAATGTCTATATCAGTCCATGTTAGGACATCCATTTATAAGAACATATGTTTTAGGAGGAAGATATTAAGATTAGAGATGTAATGGGATATCCAGGGCTACAATTTCATTAAATAGCCTCACCCAGGAGCACCCAATGAGACAGTGAGGAGTGGCAAGAGCTGCAGGCAGTGCCCTGATGACTTAATTTGAATGGTGGCAATGTTGACCTCCCTCGTTACGGCTATAAAAATGACTCCTGGCAGTGGTTTGTGACTTTCTGAATGATTCAGTGCTGAGAAGGAGCAAGATGAAAGATGAACGTCAAAGGAAGTTAGGAAATGAGGCATTTTTGTCCATGGGAGTGGACACAGGGTTAAGACCTTTGTGTCTCATGTTAGTTCTCACCTCAGAGAGCACCTACCACAGAGAATGTCCCCTTGGTGTGGATAACACTCAGCCTCTCTCGTTGGTCACCCCAGGGCTTATTCAACAGTCCCTGAAAGTCATAGAAATCGAGATCAAGGGTGATTTAATCATACCTGAGTCCAGTAGCATGAGTTTCTTCTCATCATGGGTGATTCATCAGTCACTGTCACTCACGAATGCCCAGATTTCCAGTCAAAGAAATCACAGTCAAGCTCTTGCTGTGATAACATCACTTAAGTAGACCAGACAGCTACATGGTAACAGGTGGATTTCTTCACTCAGTTTACCCTGTTATGGAGAGTGATTTGTTCTCAAGAATTGATATCCATTCTGGATGTAAGATTCCCTTCCCTGACTGCCCGCATCTCCTTTCAAGAGCCAACAGATTGCTGATTCACCAGCATAGAGCCTATATAACATGCCTCTGATAAGGGGCACATTTATGGTGAAGTAAGTATGACATTGGCAGCGTGTCTGCAGGAATCACTGATTCCACACAGCATGTCACCTGGAAGTTGACAGCATAATTGAAGGATGAGAGACATTAAAAACTTTTAACATTTTATCTTGGGCAAAACACTCTGAGATGGTGGAAGACAGCTTTCAACCATGTGCTATACACATTGAAGTAATGGCCAATATATAATCTGTGTTCCAATATTGAGAAAGCATGGATCCTGCAACTAAGAGGTGAAGAAGGATCAGCCACTCTCACCATTACTCCTAATGATGCACTGGAGGAATTTATACTTCTCGCCCCACACCTTTCACCCTATTAGATTAGAGGCTCTCCAGGGACGTGAGGTGGGAGGTTGGGAGGCATATTTGTACCAGCAAGGTTCTGCTGGATTTGATGTTATATCTACTGCCTAAGCATTTATATTCCTTGAGCCAGTGAGCCAGAATGAACTCTATTGTGATCGTTTTCAGAATAATTGACCCTGATTACAATGAGGAGCTAGGGTTGCTGCTGCACAATGGAGTAAGAAAGGAGCACATGTAGAAACTCTGGAGAACTGGGGCTTCTTGCCAAATAGAAATACAAACGGGCCATGCAGCAACCATGTCCTGATGGGGGTGAGGGTCTCAGTCTCCCACTCTGCAGGGATGAAGAATATAGGTTTGCTCCAGGGAGAGGGCAATCTGGAATGGCTGTGTGGGAAAGAGACAAAGCACATTAATAATGGTGTTGTGACCACATGCATCTGTGGAGGCTTGGTCCATTAACAGAGTCTTTTGTAGAGCTTGTCACTGGCCACCACATCAAAGACTCTGGGACTGACTGGACTCCACAGAGTGCGTGAATAGATCTGAGTGGTGTAAGGAGTAGACTCTATGGGACATTTCTCAGGCCTCATGTCTTCTATCCCTTCAGTTCACCTTTTTTTTTTTTTTAGATAATAAATTTTATTGTTATATTCCCCATACAATTGCAGCCCCCACATTCTGACCCAATCCCTCCCCTCCCGCCCCCGCCCCCCTAAAAGTGTCTCTGGTTCATAGTTTTTGTTGATTTTGATTTTCATTTTCTTATAGTTATTCATTTTCCTGGCCCCTTATTTAAGTTTTCTAGATTCCTGCTATGAGTGAGACCATCCGGTAGTTTTCTTTTTCTTTTTGGCTTATTTCACTGAGCATGATCCCTTCCAGCGCCATCCATGTTGCTGCAATTGCATGTGTTTATCTTTTTTGAATGCTGAGTAATATTCCATGGTATATATGTACCACATCTTCTTGATCCAGTCATCTATTTTTGGGCATTTGGGTTGTTTCCAAAGCTTACCTATTGTAAACAGTGCTGATATAAACATAGGGGTGCAGGTGTTCTTTGGAATTGATGTTTCTGTGTCCTTTGGGTAAATACCTAGGAGTGGAATTGCTGGATCATATGGAAGCTCTATGTTTAGTAGGTCCAGAAAACTCCACACAGCTTTCCACAGTGGTTGGACCAGTTTGCACTCCCACCAACAGTGTAGAAGAGTTCCTTTTTCTCCACACCCTCGCCAACATTTGTTGTTGCTAGTTTTTTTAATATGTGCCATTCTCACTGGTGTAAGATGGTATCTCATGGTAGTTTTGATTTGCATTTCCCTGATGACAAGTGATGTTGAACATTTTTTCATATGCCTGTTGGCCATTTGCATTTCCTCTTCAGAGAAGTTTCTTTTTTTTTTTAAATTTTTTTTTAATAGAGGCATGTTTTTTATTTATTTATTTGTTTGTTTGTTTGTTTGTTTTGTTTATACATACACTGGGTACAGTCAGAAGCGCGGGAGGGTGAGAGAATTCACCAGAGCCAGAGCAGGGAGCAGAGCAGGCAGAAGGACCGAAGTACACTGCTGAGGGGAGCAGCGGGCGGCAGGAGAGGTCTGCGCGCCATGTGGGACCCTCCTCTGTTGGCCGGGGAGCAGCAGGGTATCGAACCGGCGCCCCATAGGCCGCGGGCAGCTTCGCAACCCAGTGCTCAACCGCTGCGCCACCGGGGAGGCCCCAGAGAATTTTTTTTTTAGCTCTTCTGCCCATTTTTTGACTGGGTTATTTTCTTTGTTGTTGTTGAGTCTCATCAGCTCTTTGCAGATTTTTGTGATCAGTCCTTTATCATTAGTGTTGGGTTCAAAAATGTTCTCCCAGTTGGTGGGTTTTCTCTTTGTTTTTGTTA